TGGGGCGGCAGGAGGAGGGAGGAAACTGAGGTGAAGAGAGGAAAGGAGAAGGAAGGGAGACCAGAGTGGGGGAGGAGAAGGAGGAGGAGGGGCGAGCGGAGAGGGGGAGAACCGCGGGGAGGAGGGCAGTGTCGGGAGGAAGGAAAGAGGAGGGGTAGGGAGGAAACGGAGGGGCGAGGCAGGGGGCGGAGCTGGGGAGCCAGCCAGATTCAGTGGGGAGAGCGGGAGGAAGGCGGAGGGAACCAGAGAAGGGAGGGGAGAGGGATGGCTGCCAGAAAGATTTCGGGGGAGGGCAGTCTGCTGGGAGGGGGCAGGGCGCCCGCTGGCGGAGGAGCGGGGCTGAGAGCACTAGGGCGGGGTGGCCCTACTGGGGGGGGGGACCCCGAGGGGGAGGAGCGATGGTTTGAGATAGGGTTTGGGGAGAGGAAGCAAGAGCCATGTCCTGCCTTCAGCGAGGACCCTCCTCGAGGGCCTCCCCCACCAGTTGTCCAATAGTGACACTCACCTCGGCCCCTCCGCTGGCTCCTGTTCCACCGGCTCCCGCAGTGACAGCTGGAGGGCTAGGGGGTGTGTTCTTGCTCCCCAGTCTGGTGTCCCACCCTCCACCCTCCACTCTCTCCCCAGAGAATCGACTTGTCGCTGCCACCCCTCCTCCCCCGGACAGGATCACTGAGGGGCTGGGGCTGGCTCTGAGAGACCCGCCAGGTGAGGGGTGCTGCTGACTTCTGGAGCTGACCGGAGCTTGCAGAAATGGCTTCAGATCTTCTCCTTGGGCCACCTGTAAAGATCTCTTTACCCTCTGAAATCCACCTCCCCTCTTTTCCCTCACCTGTACCTGGCTGGGACATCACTTTTGCAGCTCCTGGGGATAGGTGATGGGGAGAGGTTGGGCAGGGCCAGGGCCCAGGTAGAAGCTGCCATGAGAAGAAGTTGAGCAAGGATGTATTTTCTCCTTAGGGTGTGTGGCCCGATCCCCAGAAGGAGCTGCCTGGGGTTGCCATGAGAGAGACCTTGGAGGCCCTCAGCTCCCTGGGTGAGCCAGCAGAACCTGGGAGGAACCTGGGGGGGCAGGGGGGGATCCAAAAGCCTGTTGGGCTTGTTGCTTCTCTACAATAAAGAAAGGAGAGCCATCCTCAGAGACCGAAACCCCAAGACTCCTGAGACCCCTGGAACCTTTAGGGCAGTATCCTTTTGGGTTTCTTCAGGGTGTTTGTGAATACCTGCCCACACTGGAGGTTGTGCTAGACTGTACGTGCACATGCGTACGTACTCATAGAGCATCAGGATATTGAATCCACTTCCTTCACCTGTGCTTGACTCAACACAAAGGGGCTCAGGTTGACACCTGGCCAGACTGCTGGCAGCCTGGCTGTCCCTTGTCCATGCTGACTAGGGACCCTCCCTACCTGAGCAGGTTGGGAAAAGTCCCTTGGGTGGGCTGGGGGGAAGGGGAAGAGCCCCTGCCTTTGGTCACCTCTCTCTACTGGATGCTTACTTGGACCCATCCTTCTACCTGCAACAGGATTCTCTGTGGGACAGCCAGAGATGGCCCCCCAAAGTGAGCCTGGGGAAGGCTCCCACAATGCCCAGGAGCAGATGTGCCCTCCCAGGGAAGAGAGAGCGCCGGGCTCCTCTTCCTGTTCGGGTAAGTAAGTGGGGACCCTGGATGGAGGCTCAGGGGGGAATCGTCCTTCATCGTCCTTTCTTCATCAAATATGTATTGAGCACCTGCTTAATGCCAAGTGCCATTCTGGATATTTGGCATACCTCAGTGACCAAATAGACAAAAACCCCTACTTTCCAGGAGCTTAATCCTCGGGAGGGCAGGGAGTCCACCCAATGTAAAAACAAGTACACTTATAAACCCTGTTAGAAGAGGATGCGTGCTAGGAGGGGATAAAGCAGAGTGAGGAGAACTGAGACTGCTGTAGGTGGGTGGAGCAGAATAAGCCTAAATAGGGTGGTGAGAATAGGCCTCCTTGGGAAGCTAAAATTTGAGCAAGATTTGAAATAGGGAAGTGGCTAAACGGATACCAAGAGAAGATACCTAAGGAAGGGATGTGCCTGGCTTTTTGACATCACTATCTTCTCCCATGATTTGCCATGGAACAGCGTCCATCTGGTGGCAGGGAGGTCCCCAGGCCTCCTCCAAGGAGCCTCATGTAAGCTGAAGGGCAGGGCCTCTACTTGCACACATACACATATTCCAGAAACTCCTCACAGTTGTGGCTTTAGCAGCCATGCAGTGCCTAAGCAGCTGCCCTGCCTGAAGGAGCCTGAAGCTGCTCCAGGCCACTGAGAACTCAGCCCCTGAAGGTATGAGATGGGCTGGGTGTAGTCCTTGCCTATAGGGCTGGGACTGGGATTTCAAACTCCCCTGTCCTAGCATCAGTGGGGCTCTCTGTCCATCTGTGATGTCTGCAGTGGCCTGAGGTAGCTTGTTCTCTGCCAGGGCACAAGGCCCCCAGACTGGAGGAAGATGCCCACCCTGAACAGGCTGAGGCTCCCTGCAGAGGAAGCCAGGCACACACACCACGGAAGGCTGAGCCTGTGGGCTCCTGCCCAGGTGAGTCTTCCATCAGCAGGGGACAAGGTGGAGGGAACAGGGGCCCTGTAAGCTCCAGAGCTGCTATCTGATGTGGCAGCCACTCCAGGCCCTTCCAACACAAGATGAATCAGGCCCTGGCACCTTTCTGCTCGTAGAGCTTCAGCACCCAGAGGGAATTCTGCATCCCTAGACAACAGCAATCAGCGAGGCCGATCCAAGAGAAACACACCATTGTGTCAACGTACTCTAGAAGTCCTAACTTCCCCCATCTCTGCCCCAGTCTAAGTACAGACTTGTAGATGGCCTGAATTATAATTTCCATGAAAACATGGTGCGTTGATTAACTTTTTCATTGTCTCTGCCCAGGCATGCTCCCTCCCCCACATCTCCACTGATCTCAGTGGTACCCAAATGCTCCAAATCTGTTGTGTTTGACTCATCTCCCCCATAGCCAGGGCGATGGAACAGTTGATTCTCTCTCTACAATCCTGCCCAACACTTCCTTCCACTAGCACCAACCTTATCATCATTTGCCTGAGTGATGTCATTTATTCCACAAGGATTTATTTCATATCTACTAGGTCTAGGCCCATGGTGGGCAAACCGCGGCTCGCGAGCCACATGCGGCTCTTTGGCCCCTTGAGTGTGGCTCTTCCACAAAATACCACATGCGGGCGCGCACGTACAGTGCAATTGAAACTTTGTGGCCCATGTGCAGAAGTCAGTATTTTGTGGAAGAGCCACACTCAAGGGGCCAAAGAGCCGCATGTGGCTCGCGAGCCGCGGTTTGCCCAAACCAGACTCTAGGTCCTAGAGTCTAGGCTGTTTGGTGGAGTGGAAAGAGACAAGCTCTAAAGCGATGCAGACCTGTTTGAATCCTTGTTCCACATCCCCTAGCTGAGTAATCTTGGATTGGCTATCTCACCTCCAGGAGCCTCAGTTTGTTCATCTGTAAACAGGGTAATTTCATGTTTGTTGTGAAGGCTTGTGATAATGTATACACAGTACATCTATAATTGGCATTCAATAAATGGTGGCCATTTTCATTTTTATTAGACACATACACATTTTTATTAGATACATAGGAAATAGGACACAAGATGTCGGCCCTCCAGAAGCTTAAACCTAGTTGACACTAATATGAGCTAGAATAAAGAATTAACATAACAATAAAGCCTTGTCACGATGAGTATTAACAGTAAGTGCTACAGGCACTGGGTTTGTTGAAGATTTCGATTTGTGCTGCATTTTGAGAAAGGTGTAACCTTTAGCTCTCATGAGGGTGGGTGGAGGATGGGAAAACATTCTAGACTAAGAAAAGACTACAAGGCAGGAAAGTTGACACGTGACTGGAGTTAGAGCAGACCAGCCTGGCTAAAGTAAAGGGCTTATGCCTGGGATAAAAAGAAAGTTGCACCTTAGGTGCAGCTAGAACTTACTTTATCCTGTTAATAGGGAGCTACTGCTGGTTCTTGAGTAGAAGAGTGGCACAATAAAAAAGAAAGCAATATCACAACAGGATAACTAGTTGTTTGGAATTGATAGGTCAATAAAAGAGACTGGGAATAAATGCAGTTGTGACAGTCCATGTGTAATGTAACCAAGGCTCAGGCTATTACAGACTTTTAGAGCCAGACAGGAACTCAGATAATCTGGTTCAATGGTTCTCAAACAAGAATCACTTTGGGAGCTTTAAAGAGAACAGATTCATATGTTCTGCTCCCATAGATGCATTCTGTAAAAGTTCCCCCAAGAGATTACGATGTGGCACCAGGTTTAGGAACTATGAACTAGTCCAACCCTTATACCTAAGCAACTAACAAACTTAGCTCAAAGAGGTAAGTTAACCAAGGTTACATTGCTGGTTAATGGCAGAGGAGAACCCAAGTGGACACTGAATCTTGGGCCTTCAGCTCCTTCCTGTCGGCTGGGCCATTCTATTTCCCAGGAGGGGCCAAGCTCCAGGAAAACCCACATCAAATCTGCTTCCCAAGAGGCCCTCCCTGCTTCTCCAGAGGTCAGCACCATTCAGGGGTTCCCTGTACACACAATCCTCTTTCTAAAGTGGGACTTCCCACCTGGCTGTAGAAGCAAGAAGGAAGGGAGTTGGAGGGAAGGGGGCTTGAGAGACAGCAGGGAGGAATACAAAGCCCACTGTGGAAAGTCTGAGAGCCGGGGAAGCTCAAAGGTTCTGAGCCCAGCATCTGGGAGAAGGAAGCTGCAGTTCTCATGAAAGTAAGCGAGTAGGTCTGGAAAGAGGAGCTGTTTGGAGCTACAGCCAATTTTCAGGACTCGGAGGGGAGCTGCTCAACCGAAGTTGAGAGACTGTGGTTCCAGAAAGGAGCCTGCTAGACAGGAAGATCTGGGACGGCTGCCATGGGCATATGAACCCAGAGTGACGCCTGCGGTCTGAACCTTGAACAACATTCATGTTCAGAGGCAGGGAAAGCGCTCTGATCAGCGCTCCTATCGACATGGGCAAGCCTGGGAGAAAGCCCCCTGCAGGAGGGGGTGGGGCGGGTCACCAGGCGTCCTGTCTGCAGAGAGGGGAAGATATTCGGATTTGGTCATTCCCCAGTGGACAGAACAGAAGCCAGAATGCGGGGCTCCAGGAAGTGGTGGTCTACTGGCAAATGAACGTTGCATAAATAAACGTGGGGCTTAATAGACTTGTCTTGTTTTGGCTTTTCAGGAGAGGAGTGGATGATTCGGAAGGTGAAGGTGGAGGAAGAGGATCAGGAGGCAGAAGACAGAGTCGAATGGCCCCAGCATCTGTCCTTACTGCCCGGCCCCTTTCCCACACCTGACCTGGGGCCTCTGGCCGCCGCTTATAAGCTGGAGCCGGGGATCCCCGGGGCCCTGGGCGGGCTCTCGCTGGCTGGGTGGACTCCTGCCTCAGAGAAGCCCTATGGCTGCGCCGAGTGCGAGCGGCGGTTCAGGGACCAGCTGACCTTGCGGCTGCATCAGAGGCTGCA